AAATGAACTTCTGAAAATAAAGGGTACTGCATATATAAGGAACGATATGTACTGTAAAAAATTCATTTCACGAATGAGATACCAATGCAAAAACAGATCAATAATCATAGATCAAAATACCCATAAGAGTGCACAAAACTAAAGATGTGAGCATAGCGGAAAGCCACAAAACGAAGATGGAATAGCAAATATTGATCCTTATTGATCAATCAGTTCTCAGTTTCCTTTTTAGTAGCGTTTTCATCAAGTATCTCCTTAAGACAGGCAATGTATTGCTGAGCCATTTGCAACGTTTCGTATTTGGATAGGCGACGTCCTGAGTCCATTTCTGGTAGTACGGTACGAAGCTGAAATGAGTAAGACTGACTTGTGAAGGTAAATGTTTGCCTGAACATTTTAAAGCCTAATTATCTTCCCCAGCAAAGGCATACACGTGGAAGCTTACCGGCCTCTATTCCCTCCACCCCCCCCCTCCCCACCCACTCACCCGCCACTATTTTGAAGTCATGCTACAGCAAAAAGCTCTTCGAACATTGTAACCTGCGCAACACACCCTTTCAGCACATCACTCATTGTCAGGCCTGGTCTTGAAGACGTCAACTGCAGTCACGTCGTCCACTTCTCAGAAAATAGCCTTCGTCCATGGAGCGTATGACGGGGATGGATTTGGCTCGACGTTAGCTCTTTTCTTTTCTTTTCTCTTTCGACGGGCGAACTGATATCGTTCGTGTCACTCGTTTTCCACCAATTGTTGTCGCTTACCCGTTTCAACAGTCGGTGGAGAACGGGCTGGCCGCGACCAAACTCAGCTTAATCGACAGCCCCAATCATCCAGACAAGACATATGGGCCCATTTTAAGACTCAAAAGAAGCGACGAGGTATAACACGGCATAGTAGCGCTGCCATGTATCCCGCACTTCCCCCACTTGTCCTAGATTTTTTGAGGATCTCGAGCAGTCCTCGAATGTAGAAGGCACTACGTGGACGATCTTATGAAGCCGTTCTTCTGGAGCACCACTCGGGGCACGCGTATGCTCCGTTTTGGAATTGTCTTCGAGTGGGTTTGAAAGGGTTCCAGAATGACATTTCTGTGCTCTGCAACTTCAGAGAGGCATTTTGCGTTTTTGTTCGTTCTTTTTTGCTACTTCCTGTCAAATTACACGTCACACCCTGGTAGGACCGGTCGAATTTTGACAGGTGTAAACGAAGCTGCTACTGCTGCATAATTTACGGGAGTTTACAGGTCTCCACTATAGGCATCGGCAGTGATCGGTGAGAACCAGCGAAATGCCCCCACCAAGCCGTACTGGGCCCGAAATTTCAAATCTGAACCGCTAGCGCGAGATGATGGAGGTGAGGAACAGGGAAAGGGTCACAGGAGAGTCACGGCATGACTGGCGATAATTACAGAAGACAACAGGTGCGCGAAATGTGCATATCTTACGTAGTCACTAAATCATTCATTAACGTGTCTAGGTTTGAGGGTATGCCTGCGCTTTTCGACTGGACGTCCTTGAATCAACCAGCCAACAGCTAACTGATACGGTATCGTCGCGTGCACGGGGTAACTGACCCGATGATTCAAAAATCTGCGACAGATGAGCGTATACCGTTTGATTAATTGATATATTGGTTCTAAAGAACCATGCAATTAACTCAAGTGTACGGTAGGTGGTGGAAGAGAAGTTGGCCCAGGTTCACACATGGGAGGTAGGAGGGCATTCAGACGGGGAACTCATCACTTAACGCTGCTTTTCCAAATACAAGATAGAAATAGCGAAAAGAGCATTTGTTGCTGCTACAAACCTTTGTTGTATGGTGCAACTTATCCTATCCAAGTGAAATACGCAAGACCAAGTTTAGCTAGAATATGGAAGCGTGGGTAGTAAAAGAGCAGAACAGCAGCATCTCTGCATAGCAGCTCTCGCGAACTCAAATAGGTCTTGTAAAACTATACGGCACCCTAAATTCGCCCTATTCCAGGTCCAGACTGAACTTGGCTGCGATGCACTTGGGATAGTTACCCATGCGTTTGACACAGACCAGCAGCCAACACGTTAAATCATTAAATTCGCCAACAATATGAGATCGAGGACAGCTAGATCAGTTCACTACAATCATCGTATCCTTTAGCGCAAAAGACATGGCAAGGTTTTTGCCAAAACGCGCAAACGATGCTCCGCCTTGAAGATTTAACCCCCCCCTTATGGGACCCTCCTGCAATAAAATTCTACAAATGATGGAAGTAAGCAGCTTCAGTATCAGTAACTTTGAAATTTTCGGCTTTGAACAAATGCAAAGAAATTTCTTAAGAAACCGATTTCATTGTTTTTCTATGGAGGAGGGCGGGTATGGCGAAGGGACAGTGCGGTTTCTTCGAATATTCTTGGTCAGATCTTCAAGATGTGAAATAAGTTCAAGAGCCCCTTGATTCAATCTCAGTAGGCGAGGGTAACCAGTGTGATATGGTCAAAAGAAACAAGATGACTGGAGGACATTTTGACAGACGGGTTCTTTTTCCGGAAAGTTTCAGGAAACTGGGATATTATTTTCCCAGTTTCGAGCCAGCTTTTCTGATCGGGCATAATATTCGAGCTGGAATAAGTCAGGCACAGTATATAATCATATAGCGTAAAGACGCTAGCTGACAATATTTAATGGATTCGTGCAACATCCAGATAAGATCTGAGATCCCAGGCACACGATGTTGCACACGATGTTGCTGCAGGAATGGCGTCACTTATCGCTATCTTGTTCAAACTCACAACCGTGAAGATGTTGGTACAAAGTAGATTCATGCAGGACTTTTCGCGCCAATAATCTTGGAGGGGATATAAAGGAGTCTGGGGCAAGACGGGAGTAACATCACAGTTATTTAAATGTTCATCCACCGTAGAGCTCCTCCTCCCTTCAGGCCTAGACAAAAGTTTTTATCTACACTGTGGCAATTCCAGTTATGCGTGAGGGGCCTTTCAAATACCTCCTTCATGGTAATTACTCCCAATTTTGAGAAGTTCAGCTGATCAACTACCCCCATTAGGCCCTGACCACTCGTGCAATTCCTTGGAGCTTTTCGAACTTCAATCGACGAGCTCTCTGGAGGGTGATCAGTGAGTCTTGTCTACTAAGGTAGAAAACTTGAAAGCCATGGCTAGGTTGGAATGCGCAAAGGACATCTATAAATGCTATGTATGGAAGGGAACCATATTGTTCATAGCGCTGTCCATATTCTACCAGCTTGTCCGCTTTAACCTATGCTGTCGCCACGAGCATGTTTTGGGCTGCACAAAAATTATGTAGAGGAGCAGATGTAAGGAAGGAATCCAGGGGATTTGCACCCCAAGTTGCAACCCTAAACTGCTGAGGCCTCATCTCCCCATTCCACGAAAAAAAACCAAACTAGGTGAGGACCGTATTGAGTTCTAGTTTCTCGCCTGAGACATACGCGTCAACTGAATACAAATAAAAATAATTGTAAGAAAAATAGAGTGGATCAAAAGTCCTAGGAACTGTTGAAGATTTCGAAGCAGTACTGAGTAATCCTCACCTTATCATAGGCCACGTTCAGCGTGTTCATTCGACGACGTTCACGTTCGTTGGCAGCAGTTCTTCGCATCCGCAGAAGCTGCGGAGGAGGTGGTTGATAACGGCGGGCTTTGCCGGCAGTATTTCTGCAAGAAAATTCGATTAAAGTTCCTTATTGGAACCGCTGAAAATGCTCACTCACCTGTTTGATTGTGGAAATTGGGGGCTATGCAGAGGTGGCAGGACTTGTTTAGGTACGCTATAAGGTAAAGGCATTGAACATCCGGTGAATGAAGTTCCAAAGTGGAAAGTGGAAAGTACGGATGATAGTCCCAGGAGGCCATTCCGTTCACAAGACACCGTAAAGGATCAAATGAGGTTTGCGCCGAGTCAAGTAAGATAACCAGCCTTGCCACCTGGCCACGCCCCCTCACGGAATACAGTATCCGCCTCAGCGGCTACGCAGGGCAATCAGCGCGCGCTC